AAAAAAAAAAAACAACAACTCACTGCTGTCGAGTCAGACCCGACTCATAGCGACCCCCCTTGGGTTTCTGAGGCAGTATCACTATGGAAGTAGATTTCCCAACCTTCCTTCTGAGGAGTGGTTGGTGGGTTTGAACCACCAGTCTTCTGGTTAGCAGTCAAAGCCTTAGGCACTATGCCACCAGAGCTCCTGGACATTCTTATACCACATACAAATATATATGTAGAAGTATCACCTGCCAAACATTAGTCATGGGTATATTCACTTATGCCTAGACATACCTCTTCATTCAGCCTCTACCTGTGTGTCCACCTGCAGACTGTTTGTTATTACTGATAATGCAGAATTGTGTATATATGTTTATCTTTGTTTTATGTACCTCTTGTGCACCTCTCTGTGTCTTCCTTTTCCTTAATGTTACTGTGTTGGTTACTGCCTTTCCCTTCACCCAAATCAATACTTGTCTCTTACCTGTCTAGCAATCTCCCCCACCCCCCGATAAAATCTTTTTAAAGATAAAATACTTCATGAGTATATCCTGATCCTTCCAATTAAAATTCAAAACTCAGGATGTTTATTTAACTTCTTCAATGTAAATATGTTAAAATGAAATGTAAGATTGGTACATGACTTATTACAAAATTTAAATTAATACAATCAATGAGGAGTAAACCATAAGTCTGTGGATCTAATTCAGCTTTTTTTCCTGTTTTCAACCAACCTGAGGCTTAAGATCCTTTTCCATCAGTATCAGTGGCTGATTCTACTGAGCACTTTTGCCCTAGGTATATATTTGGTGGGACATATGTAATGTAAAGAATCCTCTTCAGTGATTCTAACATCTTTCTCCACCTGCTGACACCCCCACTCCACTGGGAAAGGCTTGCTCTAGTTCCAATTTCTGCACTGGTGAGAGCAGACTTAAATTACCCGTAGCCTCTCCTGGCCTGTTGGGACTTGTCCCTGGCCCTGATCTCTCTTTGCCCTGAGATGAGCTCCTGCTAGAGAGTTTAAGTAAGTGTGTAGTCATTCATGTGGTTCTTCAGCTGATTCCTAGCTGTGTGTTTCACAGAGCAGTACACAGTAACCGGGCTGATGGAAGCAACCCAGATGATGGTGGACATTGATGGGGACGTCCTTGTGTTCCTGGAACTGGCTCAGGTATAATGGCAGAGGAAGGAAGCTCCAACGTTCTCAACCCTAGCTCTTTCTGTCGATTGACAGTGAAAGGGGAGGGTCGGGAGTAGTGGGTAGGAAATAAATCCATTTTCAGACTTGGTTCCTTGCAGTACTCTGATTGGGGAGGGCCATCTCAACCACCAAGTTAGGAAGCAGCTAGAGAACTCCCTGACATGCCAAGAAGAGAGGCTGGCCATGGGAGGAGGGCTGAGATATTAGGCAACCAGAGAGCAGGGAATGGACATTCAGTCTCATGCTCAGACATGGTTGCTGTCTGCCTAAGGACATTTAAAGGACATTGAAATTAGTGGTTCCACCACTTATTGCCAGATGAACAAACAAGCAAGCAAAATCTCCCACACTGACCCTCACAGTGCCAGAAATTCTACCATTAAAGATTTGTTTATAAAGTTCAAGGATGGCTGATTCAAGGCTTGCAGACATACCTGGGAAAGATAGTTCTCCCAGCCTAGTTATCAACACCTTAGTGTGGACTGTTTTGGACCCTTGAGGAGGAGGTGGAGGTGGAAGTCATCTTGGGTGAGGTTTGAGGAACAGACAACAGTGGGTAGCCACCATGTAGGGCTGACATCCACATATGGAGATCTGTAGTGTGATGGCATTGGGTATGGGACAGAGGCAAGGTGATAGTGATGATAGTAATGGTGCCAAGAACCTAAAACAAACGTTGTCTTTCCTTGCAATTTTGTGGGGGTTCCTTCTGGAGGTGGGCACTCTAGGACTGCAGGGCCTTAGTCCACCCTGCACCAAAGCCTCCACTTCAAAGGCAACTGTAGGTGTCTGCACAGGTGTCCCATCCTCTGGGAGTCAGGGGTGCTCAGTACAAATTATCTTCTGTTCATCTCTAGTTCCACTGTGCGTACCAGTTGGCCGACTGGTGCCTCCACCACATTTGTACCAACTACAACAATGTGTGCCGCAAGTTCCCCCGAGACATGAAGGCCATGTCCCCAGGTGAGTATCCAGGGCCAGCCCTAATGGGACCAGCTGCTCTTGTATGTTGATGGGGGTCTCAACTTGGGTCCACAGCTCTGACTTGACCCTAAGGGACCAAGAAGCTGCCAGTGCTCTTTTGGCCTAATTTGGCCTTAGCATTCGGAACAGCTTGCAAAGGTGAATCCAACTAAGCAGAGTGGGGTCTCAGGCAAAATACTGTCCTGGAGGGCAGGGGGCTTGAGTTGTAGGCACGCTCTGCCACTAACCAGCTAGGGGACCTTGAGCAACTGTTCACCCTACTTGTCTGGCTTCTGTTTCTTAGACTTACAAAGAGAGTATTGAACTAGAGTTGGTATTTTTTAGGCTTTTTTTGACAGGATTTCACAATAAGAAATACGTTTTATTTTACAACACTGTGCACATGTAGAAAAATATGTAAAATTTTAAAGTGCTGCTCATGATCCACTAAATGGATTTTGCAACTTAGGAATGTGTACAACCCACAGCTTGGAAACCTCAGGTCTGGACATCCTCTGAGGTCTCCTGTAGCTCTGTCTCTGGCTAATGAGCCCCATCCCAGAGCCCAACAGGAACTGCACAGGCTCTAGGGAGAGGTGGCACTGGCCTCCCTGAGGGGTCTGCCACCCAGCGTTCCTGGGGGTGTTTTGCTGCCTAGGCTCCCTTCACTCTGGTTTGAGTCTCCTCACTTGGTAAAAGGTTACTGCCATATCCTACCAATTCTCTCATGCCCCTTCTCTCTTCCTTTTCACATTTCAAGTGTTTTCTTTTTAAAGCACAACTGCAATTGCATCATTCCCCTAATTCCAAACCTTTGGCTCCCTTGCTTCTAGAATAAGTCCAAACTCCTCAGACTAGCTTCCCCTCCAGTCTGACCCCCATGTCTGCAGCCTGCCTCTCCTATTCTCCTTCAGAACCTCAGGTCTGGCCAGATAATTCTACTCTCAACCCTTAACCATGCCAAGTACCTTCCTGCTGATACCTCTGCTCTCTCCTTCTCCTTCATTCTTTGCCTCAGCCTATTTCAGTCACAATACACATTCAGCCCCACTTCAGATCTTACCTGTGTAAGATCTGAAAACAAATTGGAAGTGCCTTCCCCAGCACTGACCATCTGGAGCACTCACTTGGCATTTCACTTTCCAGAGCTCTGCAGCTAGATGGGGAGCTCAGTGAAGGTGGGGCCAGGACCAGAGTCTTATACTTCTTGGGCCACAGGAATCAGAATGTGTTAGTTGATGGACAGAAGGCCTTCTGGAGGTTCTAGTGGCAGAAGGGTTGTTGTTGTTGTTAGGTGCCATCGAGTCATCTCTGACTCATAGCGACCCCATGCACAGCAGAACAAAACACTGCCCAGTCCCACGTCAGCTCCACGATCCCTGCTATACTTGAGCCCATCACCACAGCCACTGTGTCACCCTGTGTCAGCCAGGTGGGGGCTGGGTATCCCTGGCCTCAATGCATGTCCCAGTGCCCCTCTTACTCCTTCTGTTTCCTTCCTTCTAACCACTTTTTACTGCATTCTGCTCCAGAAAACCAGGAGTATTTTGAGAAGCACCGGTGGCCGCCTGTCTGGTACCTGAAGGAGGAAGATCACTATCAGCGGGCACGAAAGGAACGTGAGAAAGAGGACTATCTCCACTTGAAACGGCAGCCCAAGCGGCGATGGCTATTCTGGAATGGCCCTTCCTCACCGTCCTCTTCTGCGGCCTCCTCCTCCTCCCCATCTTCCTCCTCGGCTGTGGTCTGAGATGCCGCCACCCTCTTCTGACCCTGCTGCTGTTGTCCCCCTCTGCCCTTGCCCCTTGCTCTTCTGCATCTCCCCCCTCCACCTTATAGGGACAAGGGGACCCACATAACCAGGACCCTAAGGGCAGAGCTGTTCTCACCAGCCAAAGTAGCTCAGCAAGAAAGGAACCAGGCCCTGTGGATCAGAACAGGAACCACCTACAGAGGTCCCCAGTTCCAAAACAGGGCAGCAGACAACTGCTTGGAGGCAGGGAATGGAGAAACAGCTAGGAGCTCTTCTGGCATTTAAGCTCTGGGTTTGAGAGCCCCAGACTCAAAGGAAAAATCTTCCCAGCCATAAAGCTCCAGGGCTTGTATGTGGGTCTTGCTCTGTGCCAGGGATGCAGTACCTCTTCCCAGTGAGAAGTGAGCAGGACAGTGCCTGCCTCTACTGCCCATGTTCGTCCACCAATGGACTTGAGAGTTACAAATGTTTTGTGGGCATTTCCACGTGGAACCTACTTAAGTCCTCACTTGAGAAGTCAGGGTAGAAATTAGCCTTCAGAGCCAACTCAAGGCTTCTAGATCCTGGGGTACAGCTGCAAGAGATCACAGATGGATGGGCTGACATCCTGCCAGCATCTCCACAAGGGCTATAGGCAATTCAAGCCTGATAAAGGATGGTAGAATGTTATTCAGAGCTCCAGGCCTGGAAGCAGTGCCTCTTGGTCCAATGAGAAACTCCTCCCTCATTTCCCCCACCCTTCACCCCTTAACTTCCCTCCAGCCTCCTTCAGATTTGGCTAAGGGAAGCAAAGGGAACAACTGGGATAGGAGGAAGAAAAAGGAAGGGAGATGATGTGAGTCTGTGCCCAGCAATCCCACAGCCCTCTGGAATCCTTCCCTTGCCATTGGTTAGCACTGCTTTTTATGAGATGGGGCAAAATTATCAAAACAAACAAAAATATCACCACCAACAAAAAACACTCTATCCTCTTCCCCTGCACAGAATGAAATAGACTCTGTTATAGCTTCCATTTTTCTAAAGCCAAACAGAGGTGCCCATGAGACAAAGATTTGGGTGGTAGAATCCAATGCCTTTCAGTAAAGAACCATCACCAGTCCTGACTGAGGATGCCTTGACATAGCTGGGCTGGCTCTAAGGGGCAGCATAAGCTCTTGGCCCCCAACATGCCTATAATTGAGGACTTGGGTGGTGGTGGGGGGTGTCTGTGGGCTTGAACATAACGTTGGACTTTAGTCTTTGCCCATCTTGAGAATGCAGGTCATCCTCCTCACCTTCAGAGGAAGACCCTGTAGAATGTTTATTGTGTGTGTTAGGAGTGGATGGAGATAGGTAAAGTCAGGAAAAAGGACACTGAGTTGGAGAATGGTGTCTTTGGCGACAAAGATCATAGGTCAAAGAGCCCTAACTAGTGCTGATTTGGAGCAAAAAGAGTAGGAGAATTGGGAGGCGGGGAGTAGAGCAGGAGCAAAAGCAAGCTCAATCCAGAAAAGAGGAAGAATTAAACAGTAGCTTGCAGGATCTGTTGGGGCAAAAGCTGGGCCATAATTGATCCTTCCCCCATTTTGTAATCTTAATACGTATTTCATTCCTCCATTTTTAGATTTTAAAAAACTGTGTCCTATTGATGAGAGGCAGAGAGAGCCAGGGCAGCAATAATGTCATGAGCTCAGAGCTCATCTTGACTGAGAAAGATGCTTTAAGAAGACTGGCTTTCAGTCCCAATGTCCCAGGGTCAGAGCAAACCCTGAAATACCGGCCACTTTTATAATGATTTTGTGGTGCCAAGGCTAAGAGATCAGAGGTTAAATCTTCATCAAGATGAGCAAGAGGTGATAGGTCAAACAGATCTAAAGCGGTTGAGAACAAATGAGAACCAGGCTCAGGACCAAGGCTATTGTAGCTGCCTGCCCTTGCAGGTCCTTCTCCTGGGTGACTAGCCTGGAAAGCTAGCTGTGTGCTGCCCTCTGCTGGCTGATCTGCCTACTTTCACCTGAGCTCACATTGATGGCTTCAAAGGAGAGGATGAAGAGCCAATGAGCAGGGGCAGGAAGGGAGCCCAACCCTCGAAGGAGAATACTCTGCACCCTGCACCTTCACTCTGGGGAAAGGGTCAGAGAAGGCTGCATACCACCGGGCCTTTCAGGAACTGTGGGTGAGAGGGGAATTCAAGTCCTAAAGGAGAAGGGGAAATAGGTTTCCGAGGTTGCTTGCAGGCTGAGCATTCTCAGTCAGTCCACTGATGAGGTTGGAGAAGACGCCAGTCAGAGAAAGATAGTGAAGGTTGGCCAAGGAGCAGGAGGAAGCAGATAGGAGAGTGGCCACAGAACTACCCCAACAACCAGGGCCAGCTAACCCCTCAGGGATCCACCGCCCCTTCCCCAACTGCTCTGTCAGAGCCAATCTATACCACACTGGAGCTCAGCAGCCCCAGGTGCAACCCAGAGAAACCACCCTTGGAGGCTATGGGGGAACCAGGTCAAAGCTGGTGTCTCCTCCCAAGAAAGGAAGGACAGGCAGCAGAGGGAGGGGAGGAGGTGCTGAATTCCAATCCCCCGTGAACCTGCACTTTGAAATTCAGGGGATGCAAAAGCTTGAAACAGCCATGGAGGAAAAGCCTGAAGGCATAAAGGGGAGAAGGGAAGCGTGAGTTCAAGAGCAAGAATATACACCCCTGTACTCATGTCATTCAGATCTGTTTTGGAAGGAAAATGGGAGGATGGGGGAGAAAAAAAAAAAAAAACATACACCTCTTTTTATAAAGGTTTCATATTTAATTTGGTCATGAATTCATAAATACATACGTATTTTGTACCTAGTAGCCTTCCTTGTGTTGTTTGATACTACCAACAAACTGTTCAAAGAGGGAATCTTCCACTGGGGAGGGGGGACCTGCATGAAAGGATACTCAACAATTAAAGAATTATTAAGTACCTATCATGGGCTAGGTGCTATTTGGGCTGGGTAAAGAACAACAACAAAAAAAATATTTTCATATTTTCATGAAGCTTACTTTCTGGTGAAGGGATTGTTGTCGTTACGTGCTGTCGACTTGGACCCAACTCATAGTGACTCCCTCCTTGGGTTTCTGAAGCCAGTATCACTACAATAGAAAAATAAATGAGTAAACATGACAAAACACTGGTAAAGCTAATACTTTAGATGGACAGTCGAGAAGTCCTCTGAGAAAGGGGTATGTGAGCCACAGCCTTATTGACAGAAGTACACAGGCCCAGCTAAAGACACGAGAGCAGAGGGTTCCACTCAGAAGAACAACAAATGAAGAAAATGAGGCAGGAAGCACATTGTGAGTTCCGTATAATGAAAGGACCAGCATGGCTGGACCTCAGAAATAAGTAGAAAAATTATTTTAGCACCAGAGTTCTTGGGGCCTCACCTTCGCACAAACTCCAGCAAGAAAAAGCAATATGCCTACATTTTTAGGAATTTAGCCCAGTCACATCAGCTTCTGTAAAAAGATAATACACAAAGTCTTGAGATGGAAAAAAGCAACCCCCTGGCCCCTGAATTAGTACCTGCTTGGAATACAATGGAGAAAGTTTTGGCAAAGAACTGAAATGGGTACTGAGGATTTTAAAAATACAGCAAAGCAATAAAAGGACAAAACCCTAATGTATAAGCTATTTCTAGGGTTCATTCTCAGAGTATTTAAGAATTGGCTGATGTGTAACTCTTATGTAGAAGTTGATGCTTACAGAGGGCCTAAACTTCTCAGAGAGACGATCCAGATGCCAAAAGGTAGCTCAGGGGCTCTGAGTCACAGACCACCAGAAGTGAGAGAGACCATATGGTCCTCAGTTAGTAAACATTTAACACACATCATGTGCACTCACCACTGTTCCTCCTGGAAACCACTGGCATCACTAGGGTTGGTGTTACCCAGTGTAGTAACTCATAGTGTCACTCTCGCTTTCAGGGACCTCCTCCTGTATGAAGCCATACAGAATCCTGTTTCCAACTCATAGCGACCCTTCCTTGGGTTTCCAAGGCAGTATCACTATGGAAGTAGATTGCCCAATCTTCCTTCTGAGAAGTGGCTGGTGGGTTTGAACCGCCAGCCTTCTGGTTAGCAGTCAGATGCCTTAGGCACTACACCACCAGAGCTCCTACAGAATCCTTAGTAGTGTTTATTACCTATTTTAATCACAGAATTGTTGTTGTTAGGTGCTGCCCAATTGGTTCTGACTCACAGTGACCTCATGAACAACTTAAGAAAACACTGCCCAGCCCTGCACCATATTTACAGCCATTGCTATGTTTGAGCCCATTATTGCAACCACTGTGTCAATGCATCCCATTGAGGATTTTCCTCTTTTTCACTGATTCTCTACTTTACCAAGCATGATGTCCTTCTCCAAAGCCTGTTCCCTTCTGATCACATGTCCAAAGTACCTGAGATGAAATCTCACCACCTCACCAGAAGTGAGGACCATTCTGACACTACTTCTTCCAAGACAGATTAGTTCGTTCTCCAGCAGTTCATGGTATATTCATATTCTTCGCCAGCAACATAATTCAAATGCATCAATTTTTCTTCAGTCTTACTTATTC